CTTTCATTTGTCCCTGAGCATGGGAAATTTCTACCATGTTGGTAGAAAAGCCTCCAGAACAGCAGAAACAGTTTAAGTGTGACCACTGTGGTTGTATACATTTTATACAAATTGCTGATTGAACATAACCATAGGCTGTTTTCATAGTGGTCCTTTATATTAGTCAAGGATATTGAAGACTGATTGCTCTACTTTCAGGAAAATGCAATGGCATCCAGGTTTGTTTATCTTCCATAATGTAATAATCCTTAAGTTACTGGTAGCTACCCAACAGCATTATGCAGGGTATAGTAAACCTAAACCTTGTTCAGTTGCTAACCATAGTGATCAGTTCTGTTTATATACTCAAAGCTGTCAGGTGTTCCTTTGTCAAACATGGAGGGGAAGGCGAAAAAAACTCTGGAATGCTAGAAAGCAGGCTAGTTATTGGAATGTTTGTACGATAGGTAGGAAGAATATTATACCAGTTTAAAATTACCACATTCGAAACTAAGTTATTTGGGAGTTGTGTAGATATAGGTTGGTTGATATCTATTCCAAATCATCAGAGTTTAATACAAAGTTTTCTCCAATGAAACATTTGTGTTGGTAAGCATATTAAAGCAAGTTAACAGTGCAACATGCTTATTAACACAGAGCTTCCTCAAAAGTTGGTACTAATGTCTAATGCAAAATATTGACAGAAGGAAAATAATTAAATACAAGTAGTCCTTGACTTATGACCACAACAGAGTCTATTTCTGTTGCTAAGCAAGACAGTTGTTGAGTGAGTTTTGCTCCAATTTACAACCTTTTTGCTACAGTTGTTTAGCAATATCAGTGCAGTTGTTGAGTGAATCATATGGTTGTTAAGTGAATCCGGCTTCCTCCATTGACTTTGCTTGTTGGAAGCTGACTGGGAAGGTTACAAATGGTAATCACATGACTCTGGATAGTACAACTGTCATAAATACATGCCACTTGCCAAATTCCTGAATTTTGATCACATGACCATGGGAATGCTGTAATGGTCATAAGTCATTTTTTCCAGTGCCATTGTAACTTCAAATGGTCACTAACTGAATAGTTGTAAGTCGAGGATTATGTGTACATGAAGAGTAATCATCAACTCTAATTTAATTTAAATTAAGCTTAAAATACAAATCTTTCCTTTCATTCCAATTTTGCTTAAAATTGAGACTTGAGAATGATTGAGAAGTAAAGAAATTGAGATATATTTGTTTGTATTTAATAAATACATTAGATTTTTGATGTGTCATGCTAAACCACAATGTGAGTTATTGGAGTTTGGCTTAATATGTTGTGTGAACACTCCCATTTTGATTCATAAACTATGGTTCAAAGCTGAGCACACTGCATAAAACCAGACAGTTGTGGTTTATTATTAAATCATGATTAAACAAATCATTGCTTCCTTGTTTCCCACAAGCAAATTGATTTATCATTAAAAGATGTGGGTTAGTTCTGCTCAATAAACACATTTATTTTGTGTACTTCCTTATGTATTGTCTCCTGTTTCACTGGAATAGATTCCTTCTCTCTTAGGATTGTAGGTATCTGAAGATACTTCTAAAAATCTGGTGGTGTCATTATAACTTTAGGGCACAGCAAGAAAATGGAAATACTTCCCTGACTTCCTAAATTCCAATTTAGTCCAGGAAAGAGAGAAATGACAATACCTTATGAGGCAATTTTTATCCCAAAGAACCAAAATGTTGAGAACAAGATGGATGTTTATTGTTAAGAGATATTTGGAAAGCTTTTAAAAATATTGCATTTGGAAGTAAGTAACAGAATAAAGGATATGCACTTTAGAAAGCATTTCATGAGGAACAATTGCATAGCTGAGGCCCCAGGAGAGAAGGCTCATCATGAAAGAGCCAAAAGGTCACTGTATATTGATTTAGCACCTCTGGGTATTACTGATACTTTGCCAAGCCCCAGCCTACCAAAAAAGAAAAGGGACTCTGATGTCCTCTATTTATTGGCAAAGGGAAGGAAAGTAGAGGCTGTTTTTCATTAATATTTTGCTTAATAAAATAGGAATGAAATATAATCTCTCCTCCTCCACAATTTTTTTCTGTCCCAGAGGGCAGAATTAGCTCTAATGAGCAGAATTTATGGAAGATTCGATTTTCTCTAACATCAACCTTTCATATGGTATAAACAGTTTGACAATGTAACTAATGACCACAGGTAGTCCTCAACCTATGACCATTTGCTCAACTTATGACCATTCAAAGTTACAACAGTGCTGAAAAAGTGACTTATAGATGGTCCCTCACACTTATAACTCATGGAGAGTCCCTGCATTTAGGTGATCAAAATTCAGGCTCTTTACAATGATTGCAGCATCCAAAGGTCCATTGTAACCTTCCCAGGAGGCTTGTAACAAACAAAGTCAATGGAGGAAGCCTGATTTGCTTAAAAACTACATAACTCACTTAACAATCATGATAAAAAGTCACAAAATTGGGTGCAGCTCACTTAATGACTATTTAGTGACAGATGTTCCAGTTTCAGTTGAACTCATAAATAGATGACTACTTGTATAAGGTCTTCAAGCAGAGCTATTGGTTGAATATTTACTAAATTGCAGAAGGAAACCTACCATCCTTGAGATGTTGCTGAACTTCAGCATCTAGGATTCCTCACCAATTGCAATGCTGGCTAAAGAGGCTGGAAGTTACAGTCTGAAGTACAGTCTCTGCACCCTCTTCTAGTTCTTAATTCCTTGCATCAAGCAAGAAGTCAACAGAAGTTATTTTAAAACTTCCTTTTTGTGGGACTTTTTAAGGACAAGGGTAATCGAATTAAAAGATGGAGGAAAGAGACCATTGAGCAAGGAATAACATTACAGAAGGATATGGCTAAAGGATCTGACCTCCCTTATACTACTTGGAGGACCCTGAATAGGTTGAGAGTTTCAGTGCCTAAATGTAAAACCACTATACTCAAGTGGAGGTTCTTAGTGAATAACAGCACATTATGTGAATATGCAGAGACACAGGGCCCAGCCCATCTGCTAGTATGTTGGCTAGGGAGGAGGAGGAAGAAGAAAAAGAAGGAGAAGGAGAAGAAGAAGGAAAAGGAAAAGGAGAAAAAAGAAGAGAAGAAGGAGGAGGAAAAGAAGAGGGAGAGCTTCCTAAGACCCTCCCCAAGTCTTTCTCATTAAAAATTCACTGGCTCTATATTGCAAAAGGTCTTTAAAGTAGCTTCATAGCAATGGAGGCCATAAAGAGGATAATTATGTATTTCTTTATTGGGGTATCAGCATTTGGGAAAGAAAAAGTCTCTTTCGTCTCAGATAACTTTCTTGAAAAGTTTCTTTCACTGCATGGCAATCTTGGCTTTAAAACAGTTTCAATGGCAGTAGAGTCTACTCAAAACTTCAATAAATAAGTCAGGAAGAGGGGAGGATGTTTGAATTCATTTAGTTCTACAATTGCCAAGAAAGCTACATGATATGTCCATACAATCATAGGTATTAGGCTTGGCTTGAGAATATCTTTACCTTTTTTGCTGTGGCCAAGTACACTGAAGTCCATTCTGAGTTCCTAGCTATTCCTTTCATGTAGAACAAAACTGGAAATCAATACCCTCTGTTTATCCTACATGGCATTTGCCCGCATATGTCTTTCCCCATATATATTTCCAGGAGGATATAAGCCAAGTACATGAATCATCCTGTGCTTCCTCAAAGGCGAAGGAAAAGAATCAAGAGGGGCCCTCCAACAGTAGACATCTAAAGAAAGTGAAGAAGGTTCAGAGAAGGGGGATCAGTTAAGGCCTTTGCACAAAATGGTTGGCTTGGTAGCTTCCATAGAAGCATAAAGCAGAGGGAACATTTCCATTTCTGCATTTGAGAGAAGCCATTCCAAAGGTTTGAATTCCAAATTTCTCAGAAGCCATGCTAAAGTATAGAACTGAATTCTTACATTTCTTGGTCAATTAATCAGTGAATACATTGTTTTAATTCTTCTGACATATGCAATTAGCAGGCAATATAATAAATGTTGATTCTAACTACGGTAAACCTGAGTTAATATTAATTGCTTCATTGCAAATGGTAAAAAAATTCATTGGCTCTTAGTGGATGTATGACAAATTAATCTTTCATTGCTACTTAATATTCAAAGCCTCAGTTCTATAACAAATGATATTATTTTTAATACAGCAGACTGCCCATTTGAAAAAAAAAGTACTTTTAAACATTTCTGCATGAAATAGCCACAATGCCCTCAGTATTGCCTTTGATGTCAGGTATATGTCCTTTACACAGTGTACAGAGAGAAAACACCTGGTCCATGTACCAATGAACAGATTGGTGATTGTACAGTTATGTACAAACAATTTGAAAAGCCTCTGCTAATTATATATAATGAACAAGCAAAGATTTCCAAAGTATAATTACATGAACCTTGGCAATATTATATGGAGACAGTATCTCAAGAGATTTGTGAAATGGCCCAATTTGTAGCATGAATTTGGACTCTGAATGTAGGAATAAAAAACAGTGCTCGAGGTGATGTTTACTTTATTCACTTTAGAATGTGAGAAGTTGGGGGGGGTGTCATCCTACTTTTTCTACTGAAGGGGGTTTGCATTTTTGCATTAATGTCCTATCTTGGTCATTCTATCTCTTCTTCTGTGTCTTTCATTTTGTTAAAATACAGATTAGCCTTCCATTCTGAACAGTAAAGCAGGATACAAATTCAACAGGGATAACTATGTTTTGGCTGGTCCTAGAATTCAGTCTATGAGCTATACATGCTACTTCACAGATATGTTGCCTCTGCGATGCCCCACAAATGCTTTGAACATCTTAGACATAAGCTGTTTTTTAATTTCTTTTAGAGTTTAACATTTTCCTCCCTCCCCCCACCTTAATATTCCTGTGAACTGTTGCAGGGTTTCAATGAAGAAGTGTCTTTCAACTGGGGTCCAGAGTTTCTGCCCTTTACGTTAAAAGTAAGAAACATTTTCAGTACTAAAAAAAATAATTCTAATAGTTATTTTAATGTGATAATGGCAGGGACCTTCCATATAACAACAAATTAATAGCTCTTGTTCTGAAAGCTGGAATTTCTTTTGTAGATATTCTATCAGAATAAGCAGTATTGTTGGATTTTAATTTCCATAATTCCAAGTGGTTGCCTTCCTGTATTGGATTCCAGTTCCTATTGTCCAACCACAGCAAGCTGATGGAGAGGAATAATCCAACCTTGCAGAAGTTTAAAACAAAGACGTGATGTGTCCATAAAAATGAAGTCATTTGGGACTCCTCCACTTCCAAGTCCTGACTCCTCCATAAGAGAAAACAAAATCCTTTGTGTGCCCCGTTGTATCTGTGAGGCCAGACACCAGCTGGGCTAGGCCCATAGTCACTGGAATGGAAAGTTTCAAGCACTCCTCAGTGGTCATTGAAATCCCCATGACAGAAAGTTTAGGATGAACCAATGTTTTACTTGAGATTACCTTAGGAAATTCAGGCAGAGGGATGGACAGTAGACTAAAAGTTATCTTGACATTTTCCTGAATACCCACATGCATCAAAAATGTATCTCCTATTTTCCATCTACACACAACAAGTATACATAATCAAATGGTGTCTCTGGGTGTGGTATGATAAAATAACAAATAATTCTATCTTTACCTTGAAGAAAATATACCTAGCAATATTAGTGTTTAATTGGCTACAATTTTAATGAAATACTACCTGGTTGGGCATTAGTTTTCCTCTATGCTTTCAGCCAATCATTGTGATAGATCTGATAGATTTATATTCTATAAATAAATATGACAATTTTAAGTATAGTTTTATCATTACATAATTTCCAGTTGAGACTGTACTACTATGCTGCTGAATTTGGTATATTTTCAATAGACAGCTGCATGAGTATCTTAGGTAGAAATCTACAGTGCTGATTTAGTTCAGATATTTTAAGTTAATTTTATTTTGGAAATTTTAGCATAATAGACTATCCAAACTTTATAGGTAGTATCAATTAATGCTATCCAGGCATTTTCTCAGGTAGGTTTGGAAAATATTTGGGAAAACTTAATTTTTATAAAGATCCTTTAGAGAGGATGGCCTAAGAATGCATATTTTACTAATAGCAGCAGCAGAAATATCTTTCAAGATCTGATCTGTCTTTATAAGCCTAAATATCCATTCTTTGGCATGATAGAGTTTAATCAATGAATCCCAGAGAAAGGAAAAAGTCTATATTAATGCATGGCCTTGAATAATATACTCAGCATGCTTTACATCTACTTGAAAGTCAGTCCTTAGCATTTGGTCACACTCTGTCAATGTTATTCACACTGTAAGATAATCAACAAATAGAGCCAGAATGAATTTCTAAATATAAGAACAGTCTTAATCAGAACTCAGTGGCAGGATTTAGTATTGGTTGGGTTTTGAAAAACCAGAATTGATCCTGTCTCTTAACTACCCATGGTAATCACTTCCCATAACTTTTTACATTCAAGCTGGCATGTTTTTGTTACTTATAAAATATCTTACAAATGATACTGAGTGTCAAGTTCTTAAGAACAATCAAGCTCAATTAAAATTGCACAAATATATTACAACAGCAATACTTCTTATAAGGGGCAATTTTAACTCCCAACTGAATTCCTAGTAATGTATGGAAAAGTGGTTTCTGAAATGCAATATTAATCATGTGTATAGATCTTTGAGAGGGTTTCTAAAATTAAACAGAAATCAGGACATTTTTGCACTATATCACAAAGATCAGGAAATCTGGTTAATCATATTTCTTTTTTGTGGGGGTGACTTTTGTTTGTTTTTGTGGTCAGAGTGACTTCCAAAACAAATTATATATGTGACAAGCAAGCACAGTACCATCAACATTAATGTTATAGAGTACTCAACACAAAGATCAGGAGCTAGATGAAAATGTACTAGGAGCCAACCTGCAACTAAATTTCATTCGTTATGGAGCTCAAAGGTTCCATGATAGCATGACCATTTCCCCATATCACTTTGTGATTAATTCAATGTGTGTTCCAATTGCAAGGCAATAAAATTTGAGCTAACTTCAAAACACACATTGTTCCTAAAATTTATGCATGATGAATCATTCACAATGCTCAAATAAATGTGAATTATTACCAAAATTAATAGCTTTTATGGATCTTCTTATTTCAATGTGCATCAGCATTAGAAGCTCAATGAGAGAAACAATTAATATAAACACAGTTCTTGGTTTTTCATCATGCAATCAGGCCTTTGAACCATAGATTAGTGTAAGGAATCATTCAGGCTTAATTCACTGGGTGTGCTTCTGCTCATATTTGTGAGACTGGCCATAAGAGATTTAACTTTGTAAGCATAGTAGTCCCTTAAATTGACAGAAGGAACTACTTTCATTCCATCCCCAAAATCACAGCTCCTCATGGCACTTTCCAGCTGTTTTTGGCGCTTATAAAAGTGAGAGAACTTATTGAATATAAGTGTAATAGGAAGGACTACAACTAAGATGCCAGCTAAGATGCATGCAGAAGCTGTTAGCCTGCCTGCTATGGTCAATGGGACAACATCACCATAACCAACTGTGGTCATGCTAACTGTAGCCCACCACCAGCAGGCAGGGATAGTTTCCAGGGCTCGGTTTTCTTCTTTTTCTATTGTGTAAGCTACTACTGAGAATATAGAGATTCCAACTGAGAGGTAAAGGAGAAGAAGCCCTACTTCTCTGTAGCTATATTTGAGGGTGGCTCCAAGAGATCTAAGGCCTGTTGAATGCCGAGCAAGTTTTAAAATACGGAATATTCTCATCAGTCTCAGGACTTGGGCTACTCTACCCAAATTGGCTAATGTAGGACTACTTTCCACCACTAAGTTAACTATTAAAGTGATATAGAATGGAAGGATGGACATGAGGTCAATCAGATTGAGTGCATGCTTAAAAAACTGAAGGAAATCTGGGGCAACTGCAAACCTGGCCACCAGCTCAAAAGTAAACCATGCAATACCAAAATGTTCCACAATTTCAAATCTAGGGTCTTCCTCCGAATTCCCATAGCTGTTAATAATCTGGAAGTCTGAAAGACTGTTGAGGCACATCGTTACTATTGATCCAAGAACAACCATAATAGAAAGAACACTGAATATTCGGCTTAAGACAGAATAGCCAGGATTGTCTAAAGCTAACCATAGCTGCCGCCTCACTTTCCCAAATGGTTGCTTGTCAAATTTCGCAGCATCATTGTAGAAGGCTAAGATCTCATCAAATGAAGAAGAGGTACTTTCTTGGTCACTGTGATCTTCCCATTTTTCTTGATCTGGTTCCATTTTTCTCCCATGGTAACTATAACTGCAGCAAGAATCAATAAAGAATTCATTGATTCCCCAGTATTCAATTTCTTGGCTGAAGGAAAAGACACAGAGCTCACCCATCACATGTAACTTTCCAGTGTCATAAAAATGGAGCACATAAGGAAAAAGTTCAGGATTTCTATCAAAGTAGAACTCATTCTTAGTGTCATCGTAGTCATCACAAAGCTCTAAAATTGACTCCTTTGAATTGCAGCTCAGCAGCTTACCTAGTCTTGTTTCAGGGAATCTCAATAGTGTGTTGTATCTCATCTTTTTTTTAAAGCCTCCAACATTGAGACTGATCTCATTATCTTCAAAATAAGTATCAGATAAACCCCTTAGATTCAACCCGGTCATTGTGAGTATTTCCAAGATCTAAATGGGGAGAGTATACCTATGGAATAATAAAAACAAGGCAATCCACATTAGCTAATAGAACAGAAGGAGAATTCTTCATTACAATCTTTTATGATATACTTGAATCAAATCCAGTCATACATACCACCACCCACCTTTTGAAATTCCCACACCATCAGTTTCTTTCTATGAGATGCAGCTTTTTTTTTATTTAACTGGAAAAAGATGGTAATTAATGCTCAGTCACAAATTAATATGTTATATTTGATTGCCCCCTTTTCTTTTCCTGCATGGGGAGACTAGGCAGATCTGAGGCACCAGGTGCAATCTTTCCCTAAACTCTGTAGCACTGGTGAGTGGAGCAAAGGTGAATCCCTGTGCACTTTTCTTTTCACCTTTTTTGGCTATTGAGTAAGTATGTCTGCACCATTACAAAAAACTAGGAAAGCCAATGATTTCTGATGATGAAATTGCTAGAGTATCCCTACAGGCAAGCAATCCTCCCCCTTCCCCACCGCCCCCAATATCTCCAGACCCATTTTTCACTGTGAAACTTCCCCTAGCAGCCCGCTAGTATTGCTGGGCGGGGTCCTTCTTCTAGAGGTTAGTTGCCTTGGCTCCCAGACTCAACACATAACCTTTGTACGATGGAGGTAGACGGACCGCGTTGCCTAGAAAAGATAAGTAGGCACAGACTTACATCCTGGACTAGCCGCCCGAGAATAGAACCACCACCCAAGGCGAAAACGTCGCGCCGTGGTGCTGAATGGACAGCTCCGTTCCAGCCGCGCCTCCCGACTCAGCTCTAGGCAGCGGCAGCGGCAGCGGCAGCGGCTGCTGCAGCAGTCATGGCGACCACCGGCAGCCCCCCGCGTTTTCCAGCCAAGCCCTGCCCGAGGATTGGACGCGCCTCTTCTCCCCCCCCCCGCTCCCCAGGTGGGTGCCGCCTTTTTTGCCGCCGGTTCAGATGCTGCAGCGGAGCGAGGCACCTGAGAGACGCTGGAGGCAAAGTAGGAAGGTGCCCACGATCGGATCGGAGGGGGCTCTGAAGGCTGTCTAGGGAATTCCCCACCGTCGTGTACGGTCTGTTTCCTGCCACCACGCTGGTTTCAGTGCAGTCTGAAGTGATGCTATATGGTGATCATCATTATTTTGTAGCAGAGTTCAAATACTGTACCTTCTGCTTATTTATTTCGCCTGGTTTGCCTACATCTTTAAAGATCAAAATTCATAACCCATTTTTTTTTTTACCAAAAGGTGGTGGCTTCAGACAGTCTTCTCCAAAGTGGTCTTCTGCACGTAGGTTTTCAAGATTCCAAAAAATGAAAGAATTATGGGAATTGTTCAGCACAACTAATGGGCAACAGCTTGGAGAAAACAGGTTAAAGATACACTGTGCACATGCTTTGTTATCAGGCTGAACACAGATAGAAAATGAGTCAGATATGATCCATTGTTTTCAGAAGTTAATAGAAGAAATATAATTGCATCCAAGTATTTTCTCCAATATGTAGCTAGCTAGACAACCTGTTATTAACACAGTTACCCATAATGGTCGACTCAGCTAACCTAATAGCCAGGTTTTCATGATACACTAAACCATAAACTAATTACATGGGTGTTCACTGTGTTGTATGAACCCAATCAGTTCTGGGGAAAGGTGCATATGAAGGCTTATTTTTTTTTAAACAAAATTTTATTAAGTTTATATAGATAAGGAAAAATAGGAACAATACAAGTATGGTAACGGAAGGGATGGAAGGAAAGGGGAAAGGAAAGGGAATAAGGAATTAGGGTAAAGTAGGGATAGATAATCTGGTCAGATGATAAATTCTCATTTTTCCAAAATTGGGCAAATACTATCCTTGCAGCAGTTAAAACATGCAATATCAAGTAATCATTCTCTTTACCATAATTAACATTCTTAACATTCCTAACAAAAACAATTCCGGTTTAAATCTGTAGTTTCATCATCTTTTCCAACCATCTATGGATCTTAGACCAATATTTCTTAGCGATAGGGCATATCCACCAGGCATGGTAATAAGTGCCTGGCTGTTATTTACATTTCTAGCAGATATCTGAAACATTTTTAAACATTTTCGCTAAGTGAACTGGTGTCATATGCCATCTATAAAACATCTTATATAAGTTTTCTTTATATGCTACTGCTTTTGTAAGTTTAATATTTTTATCCCAAAGTTTTTGCCAGTCTTCCAAATCTATAGAATGTCCAAAGTTCTTTGCCCATACTATCATTGTTTCTTTTACTTGTTCTTCTTCCATCTGCATATGAAGGCTTATTCAGGGGGATATTTTTTTTTATCTTTTCTTGGACCATTTATCTGAATTTACTTCATAGAAAAAGACCCCCAAAGGGAATCTTCCTTTTCCCATTTCCATATAGGTCTTCTGTAGGATCCAAGCTTTCATTTGATCCACAGAATAAGACTTATGTTAGTTTTATGTCTTCAGCACCTTGTCCTTGAAATCCTGCTGATGGTGGTCCTCCAAGTCAGCCATGTTTTTGCTCCAGATATTTACAAGTCCTAAACCTTGATTCCTTGCTAAGTGTTTCTGTTTTAGCACAAGGAATTCCAGAAAACCTCTGCTGACTTCAGTGGGGTATCTCTTCCAAAGCCTTGAAAAATTCTCATCAGCCATTACTGTAAAACTACTTCAGAGCAGAGTTGTTGTTGCTGTTGGTGTTGTCTCTTCCTCTATAGAAGTGGAACACACACACACACAAATTAGTGCACCAGACATAATTAGCCTCCTTTCAAATATCCTGGATGCATCTATTAAGGAGGTCCTCAATACACAGTACACACAAGATGTTTTGCTGTCTGAAAGAGAGAAATAGATGTCACTTGTATTAGTAGTTGAATCTTACTTTGATGTCAGCAACAGTTTAGTCCCTTCTACCATTCTTGGGGTACCAACACACAGGGCTCTAGTAGTTGAGGAGACACTACTACTGCCTGCCCTAAACTGTCACCTTCACTTCACTTTGCCTAGTAGGAGGACTGGTTCTGCATGTGATTTTGACACTAGTATGAAGGAAGAACATATATGCATACTGCATCTGCACAAGCCTACACCTGCTTCACGTAAGTGGAAACTGGCTCCAGTTTGGTCATTTTACCTGCAGGATAATGATCTACATCACTCTCTTGGAATCTGTCTATGCAATTGCTTCCAAATAAGGCAAGCTCACTTAGTTGCATCTGAAGACCCCAAGGATTAGTAAACCTCTGGATGTCTGTCCCCAAATCCAGTCTTGATGGTACCTGAGCAGGAAGTCTGGTTGGCCAGATTTCTCCATTACTTGCAAAAGTCCTAATTACTTCCATTAGTAGTCCTATAAAGTGGTCTTCCTTGCATTATTAAGGACTAGGAAAAATGGAAACTTGTCTGAAGGACTATAAAGCTACTATATCTGGGTGCAAAAAATCTGGATCTCCCCAGTATATGGATGCAAAGAATGTGTTTTTAAAAAAGCCCTCCTGCTCATTGCTGCCACTCTCTGGTCAGGATTTTTCCAGCTAAATTCTAGATCCTACTTAAATTTGCAGCCATAAAATACGAAGCAAAAAGTTGAACTAATAGCTCAACTGCTTACTTCCATTTCTGAGTGTAATGAAGGCAATGGTGGTGGTTGGAATAATGGTGGTTACTGTCTAAATCCACTGAAAAGCATCGAACTGGAAAAGCTCAAGTGACTAGTATGTTCAGATTCTGCAAAGGTTTTTTTTTTTAAAAATTGGCCCGATACTGTTTTATATCTCTCAAGAATTTCAAGATCTTTTATTTTTCTCAAGAATTGAGAAATGCATGGACTTTATTGCAGTCCTTGGCTTGGTCTTTTATGACTTGGACAGCAGTTAAATTAGCAAAAGTGTTTGGTGAGGTTTTCAAAGTCTTTCCCAAATTAAATCAAGTTGGAGAAATTTATAAAATAGATAATTTCAGCATGGGAAATAAACAGTGAACAGTATCTTCTCATCTCCAGGGTCTTCGTAAGGCAGAAATACATAACCTATGGGCCAGAGTTGCAAGTGGTCCCAAAAACCTAGGTGTGATTCCTGCCCCCGCCCCAAATCCATCCAAAGGTTGCTGCCAAATTGAAGGTTGTAATGTGATTGAGGGTGATATTTATTAAGCACATTGGCAATACTTTAGCTTTTATCCTGGTTCTACTGTCATGGTCCTGTCAGTTGAGAAGGAGGACCACAAAAACCTGGAGGAAGTGTCCTAAACCTAGACACAGTCCTTCTATACCCCAACAAATAGGCCAAGCCAGGAATGGCTCCATAGTACTTACCCTTGAACCAGCAGGTTCTGATCTGAACTAGCTGTCTTCTCCACTTTAGGAGCACATGTATCCAGGTGTAGAGCGTCAAAAGCAGGCATAGGAGTTTTATCCATTTTCTAAGTAACAGCTGGATCACTGTGACAGCTATTTGTTGAGCACAATCAGGCTGGATCAGAAGTCAAAAGTTTCTAATACAGGGGTCTTCAAACTTGGCCCTTTTATGACTTGTGGACTTCAACTCCCAGAATTCCTCAGCCAACGTGCCTGAAGACCCCTGTTCTAATACTTAGGAAACAACTCTGGCAAGGTAAAACTGTTGATACATGAGGACCTGTTTTTACTTTCAGTTGTGAAGCTCTAACACTCAAAACATTTCTGGCATTTGAGTTTGGATTTCTTCATTGATTTGCCTCTTTAAACGGGCTGTTCTTCGCTGAGCTTTCTCATGTGCTAGGGATAACCCAGATAAGGAATTTAATGTATCTATCTACTTTCTGAATGTTATTTTTGCTTTCCACTCAAGTCCACTTTCCCTCCCAAACTGTTCACCCTTGCTCTGAAGTGGATCTATTTTCATTTGGCAGAACAACTTTGGGATTGGCAAAAGATCTTCCATTTCTCCCCTTCCTCTGAAGTTCTGCAATTGCCTCTTCTTCAAAAACAAAAGGGGGAGGGGCGTTTTTTATCATGACAGCTACCATATATGAATGAAAATCAGAGATGGGGGGGTCTGAAATGGTGAAACAGAGGTGCTCTATAAATCAACTACTGGCCAATAATCCCATTTCCATGGTAGAGGCACATGTGTACACACCAGTCACACCACCGATACATCTAATAGTGATACAAGTATGTCATACTCCAATTATTTTTTAAAGGGCAGGCCTCAGGCTCCACATAGACTGCCCACATCACACTCTAGACCAGGGGTCTTCAAACTTGGCCCTTTTATGACTTGTGGACTTCAACTCCCAGAATTCCTCAGCCAATGTGCCTGGCTGAGGAATTCTGGGAGTTGAAGTCCACAAATCATAAAAGGGCCAAGTTTGAAGACCCCTGCTCTAGACATACAATAGAGAAAACACCAGTTTTTCAACAGTGCCATTATACTGGTAGAATGGAGTTCGCAAAGGTCATTTGCCTATTTTACTGATTCAATTTCTCAGGATTTTGCATTTAAGTTTATCTAGCTTGGATCATTAGTCCTTGTGCTGTGATTTTACAACTTTCCAGTATCTCTGAGTGTATTTTATTTCATATGCTCTGAATATGTTTCATTGTACTTTGACATTTTGTTTCCCACGTTAGGGATTTTTTTTTTAAGGGATGAGCTGTTGGCTCTTGGAACAAGCAAAATTGTCAGCTGGAAGAACATTTGAATCCATCCTGCCATCTCCAGGCAGCCTGGTGTCAACTTGATGATCAGCATAAAATAGGTGCATTTTCTTCTCTTTGCAAATTATCGAGACACACTGTGACCTTTCTCTGTATATCTCCTCCTGTGTGATTCATCTCTCTTTGTGTTTTCCAGAAGCCGAAATCACATTGATGCAGCTAAGGGCAAAGCTAACACACTGAAGTTCATAGTTGTAATAGTTTTACTGGAAATTAATCTGCCTTGTGTCCTCCTTGCAAAAGCTGATAGTACCATGATTTATTGTGGTAATCTCTCAAATAAAAAAAAATGCTATACTAGTACACTTACCTGAGGTCTACTAAAGTAGAAGAAGCTTAAGAACATACCGTATATAACTCTCCAAAGCTTGGGGTCTTCACTCTCCAAAATGAGCCATCCAATTGTTCCAAAGGTGCTGTTTCAAAAGGCAATTGGACTTCATTTTTTCTTGAAGATGTTTTGCTTCTCATCCAAGAAGCATCCTCCGCTCTGACTGAATGCTGGGCAATGGAAGGATTTGTATTTTTTGCAATCATTTAGTTGTTAGCACTCTGAAGGTTACCACCTATAGACAGAATCTTGCCAGAATAAGCACTCTACTCTCTACATCTACCATACATTCTGTGAAATATTAGGGAGGGGCTGTCTTCACTCTTTCCCTCACACAAAATACAGGTAGTCCTTGACTTATGACCACAACTGAGCCCAACATTTATATTGCTAAGCAAGATGGTTGTTAAGTGAGTTTTGCCCCATTTTATGATGTTCCTTGCCACAGTTGTTAACTGAATCACTGTGGTTGTTAAGTTAGTAACACGGTTGTTAAGTGAATCTGGGTTCCCCATCGACTTTGCTTCTTGGAAGGTGCAAAAGGGGATCACATGACCCCGGGACACTGCAATCGTCATAAATATGAGTCAGTTGCCAAGTGTCTGAATTTTGATCACGTGACCATGAGAGTGCCGCAATGGTCATAAGTGTGAAAAATGGTCATAAGTCACCTTTTTCAATGCCGTTGTAACTTTGAATCGTAATGACCTGTTGCAAGTCACAGACTACCTGTATCTGGACTGAGTTGTCTCTTATTCTTCTGGAATGCACCCCTTCCTTCCTGGGAATCCACCCTTCTACATTTCATTTCATTGTCACACATAAAAAATGTGATGTTTCAATCACATGGTTGTGGCACCACCTTGATTTTTTTGATCTCCTCATTGTGAACATCCTGATCCTGTCAAACATTGCCCCTCTTTTTATGTTTGAAGATACTTTTCGCAAATGTCTCATTATGCTAGCGTAGCATCAAGACACTCTAAAACATGTTACGTTTAATTATTCCAAGTATGCATTATTTACTTTACAATATTTATAACATACTGTAATGCTAGCAGATTCAGGCTATAACAAAGTCAGACACAACAACAAAACACAACTAAAGCATCTCAAACCTAAACATTGCAGTATAGTATATGCACCCATGAAATTAAATTAATATTTCAAGTGCCGAATGCCTGCTGGAAAAGAACAGAACTGCTTCAGCTTGTTTACAAAATGCCATCAGAGTTGGGGGGAGGGTCATCATACCTCTGAGGGAAGGTATTCCTTATTATGGGAATGGCCACTGAGAAGTGGTCCATGTCCGATGTACAGGGGAACCTGTAACAGTCCCTCTTTTGAGGACCAGATTGGACAGAGAAAATAAATTCTGGCATGACATCAGCACCTGTGTTGTACTGAAAAGTGCTTTAAAGATAATGAACAGTACTTTGAACTGAGCCTGGAAGCCTTCTAACAACCAGTGTAGCAGTTTCCAAATAGCTGTTATAGCCTGTCAATGTTGTCTCATCAAGAGTACAGACACTGTGCATTACACGACCCATTGCTTCTAGATCACTTCCAATAGGCAATTTTACATAGTCCAACTATATGGTAATCAAGATGCAAATTATCCTCAGGACCTATTTATCTATGTAAGTTTGAAAATGACAATAAGTTGGAAAAACTGGAGGATCACCTGGGCCATGGTTTTACCTACTTAAGCAGACATTGAGAGTAAGAGATCTTCCAAGTCAAAAACCATCTTTTTAGGAGGAATGCAAGGCAGTCCAGAGTATGTACTTGAGCTAATGTTATTAGACTGCTAAGATGACAATTAGTAACTCCATCCTGGTAGGATTTTGCCCCAGCCAGAACATCATAGCCTCCAAGCACTAGGTCAGGATTTCTTCAGCATGTTTGGTATGGCCCAAGGTAACATAAATTGAGGATAGCACCCACTATTTAGGCTTTTTGAATCTAGCAAAATTCTGGCTTTTTCAGAGGACTTTCAGATATTAATTGTGGAAACACCAGCATCTCTATTAATATATTATGACTATGTATTATAACATAATGCTGTTTATTATTTTGTCTGTTAACCACATAGAATCCCTCTGGATTGAAGCAGGGCTAGATCTCATAAATTAAATAAATACTAATAGCATGTGGATGCTACTTTATCCTGAACCAGTGAATTACTTCTCCCAATCATTTCATGTAGATATCAAACAACAGTGGTGGTAGCATATAGCCCTGAAGCACCCTCCACTGGAGTTCCCAAGGACTGAAGCATTGATCTCTCATCACCACCAAAGCCTCTTGCCAAAGTAAGAGTGGAACCACCACAAAACACTGCCTCCAACTTCCAACCTCTGCAGATAGTTCAGAAGGATACTGGGGCCAATGGTATCAAATTCTACTATGGAGTCTAATAGGACCAAGAGTGATGTTCTAAATTCTGTTGGAGGTTATTAATCAGAACAACTGATGCCATTTCTGACCTCTTTCAGAGGAGGGCAATTTAAACAGTCTTCCTCCCTTTAATATTAAAGGGAAATTTATCTTGTGAAAAAGATTATTAGAGGAAAGTCACTAATCCAAAAGCATGCTAAATGTTTCATGATTAAGTGGAGATTTCTGACTAATTATTGTCTCTCTAGTATTGAGTTTCACTTGGGAACCCTCAAGAAAACTAGAGTGTCTTAAACCAAGCACAATCCAAGTGCCCTGGTATGCTAATCGAGTCCCCTGCAATTTCCTTCTGAATAAATTAAAACATCTAGGAACGCCTCTGTCTCACTTGTTCTTCTTCCCTTGCTCCAGAGAATGGGAGTGAATCATGCGGAATATATTTTCTGAAGCACAGCCATATTGATTTGCTGGATAAGAGTTTGCTTTTTTTCCTCTGACTACTATGCTATCTACTAAATATTAGAATTATCCAGTTCCTTATTTGGATCCATTTAGAAATTTCAGTATTTGAATATTTGTATCTGACAATTCCTAGTCTGTCAATATGCATTCACTAGAACAGTGTTTCCCAAGCTTGACAATTTTAAGGCATGTGGACTTCAACTCCCAGAATTCCACAGCCAGCGTTGCTGGCTGTGGAATTCTGGGAGCTGAAGTCCTCATGCCTTAAAATTGTCAAGTTTGGGAAACACTGCACTAGAACAAGGCTGGATTAAAGTCAACTGATGCCCTAACCACAACTGATGCCCTTAGCACAATCCAAAATGGTGGCCCCTTCATTGCTTAATTAATAAGCATTAAAACTTAATAATTGTTAAAAACATAAGTCCCACCCCTTTAGTACTTACGTTGACAAAGAGCTGCTGATTTGTCTACAGTCTGGAGATTGTAGAAATTTCAAGCAAAGTCTTTGAGAAATGTATGGAGGACTTCTTGCCTATAGGCTCAACTCAGACTTGTGGATTATAATTAATAGAATCAGGTTAATTTTAGCTTTTTTATGTCTGTCACAAAACCAGTATTACAATGTTTTGTGAATCTTGGGAAGCTGCAGACTGGCCAACCCATATGTAAAAAATTTCTCAGCGCACAGAAGGAGGGTATGGGAAATATTTTAGAAGAAAGCTCCCTAGTTTTCCAGAGAGCCAAAAGAAATGTCAGGAGAGGCTTGGAGTGTTCTGTTAATGTACCCTTATGATAAAGATAGAGTTACTACCCTTGGTGGTCTCAGGCATGGAAAAACCAGGTCCACATGCAAAGGTTCCGTTTAATTGATTTATTGTTAAAAACTTACACAGGAATCTTCTTAACTAACTGTCAGCGTCTGGTTAGATTTTTTACAGTGTTTCTCAACCTTGACAATTTTAAGGCATGTGGACTTCAACTCCCAGAATTCCACAGCCAGCAATGCTGGCTGTGGAATTCTGGGAGTTGAAGTCCACATGCCTTAAAATTGTCAAGGTTGAGACATACTGGGTTAGAACTAGATAATGTTCAATGGTGATCAAGAGGGGCTAGTTTTAGTTGTTTGTTGCTACCTAATGACTGTAAACCAATCCCTCTTTTTCCCCCTCCTCCTGGCTCTACTAATCCTTCTCTTAGAGGTGGTGCTTCTTGTATGGATTACCTTGCAGAGCTAATAGATATAATAAGGGAGTACAAGGTACAATAAAGACATTTCAGCAAAGAAGATTGACCACTATATCCAAGATGTTTATGATCAGTGAAAGCTTTTCTAACAAATATAATTTACTGCTATTTTTTGCATAACACAGTTTTCCTAATCTGATGCACTCCATGTATACAATCATATCATATTTCAGCTTCTGTGATCCAAAGGCCACGATGCTGGGGATCATGGAGGTCAGAATCCAATACATCAGGAATGTCCAAGTTATTAACACTGACTTAATTGTCCCTGTAAAAAAAAACTGCAGTCAAGATGGACGAAGAAGTGTTGAGATGTGCAGCTTGTTTTCTCTAGCTGTGACAAAAATACCTGTGCTAATTTACACCCTTCACTCCAGGCAAAATAACTGAGCTGATTTCTCATTTTTCTTCATATTTGTAACATGAGCGTCAGTCTCTAAATTCAAAAGAGAGTCAAGCAACATAAAGACTTTTTCTGTTCTTTTCTTTACTTAGAAATGTCTTAATTGCATGTTGTGAATGTGACAAGTTTATTTTCAAGTTTCAGTCTATTTCAGTCCAAAGTGAGATAATTTGAATTAATGATGGAAAAAGCAGGAAGTGTGAGAGAGGTGATTATTATAGCCTAATGAATCCACAGAGGTTGGAGTCAGCTCAAAAAGGCATTTGACCCCAAAGGGCAGGGCAGCTGCCTGCTGTGTGGTTGCTGGCTCAGGCTTCCAGGGAGCAAGCCATCTTTTAAATGTTTATTGCCTTGGAGTCAGCTAGATTAAAACTGGCTGATTTATGGAGCAGGTAGATGGATACTCTGTATTCAGTGGACACACATAAAAAAGGGTGTGTATATGTTGAGTGAGTATGTATATTGTTCATACCAGGGATGGCCAGCCTGAGGCTCTTGGATATGACTTCCAACACTTCTCCCCAAATGGCCCTAAGTCTATATTTTTGAATGACAATAGGAAGACATTGTCAAACACATTAGAAGAATATTCAATTATTTCATAATTAATCAAATATACATGAAAATAAATTAAATCAAATTTCTGTTTTGCTCTTGTTCTATTTTCTCCAGGCTGCATTTACTGATGAGCTTGAACATAGATATTGGGTATATCACTCAAAGATCTATTACTGACCTGAAAAAATTGCACATCCTTGGCAAGATTGATTGAGTCAGGATTTCTGACTGTTTGACAGGAGGTTTGTTTATTTTTTTTTAATACTGGAGATGTTTAAAAATAGGGTATTACTT